GAACATTGAGTTTCTAGATAAAAGCTTACTTATCAGTTACTCTGACTCTGTAACAAGATCTTATAAAGAGAATATCAGTGAAAGATCTGAGAGTTCTGACATCTTAGATGTATGAGATATTTATACAATTATACTTCTTCTGATTTTGATGAACTCTCATACACAGATATTACACATTTAATAAATAATATAGTCATGTCTACTTTATTATTATTATTCTTCCATTATACTCATATGCAAGCGGAGCTTATGATGAGTCCTTGTGTGATGTTAAATACAGGCCAAGTGTTGATTATACAGGAGGAAATACAGGTGTTGAGACCATGTCAAGATAACAAGAAACATAGGAAATACAAAGGAGTGACAATTAAATACATGCGATAATAACTTCCCATCCCAGGAACATAGAGCAATTTATTGAAGTGATTTGTACACCTCTGTATTTATTAGAAATCTGAGGTGCTTGAGTTCCGGATTTAATGTATCCCCTGCGGTTTCGAACCCACACGCCTTGGTTTCCCACGCCAAGGCGCTACCAGGTGGCCGCATTAACCATTCGGCCACTGGGGCTAGTCATGTCTACTGATAACATGAGAGAACTCTTAAATACAAGTATAGACATAGTATTATTATTATTATTATTCTTCAATTATAGATGTATGCAGTCAGAGACTATGACATCTACCTGAGAACTTTAATTCTCAGGGTTTTTTCTATGTCTGTAAAGTTAACTATTGTACATTCATCAATTTCAGATATGCAAAATCAGAAAATTCCAGCTCAGAATACAAAAACTGTTTACAAATTGCAGTGTTTTAACATCTTTTAATACTTTGAAACCATTTGACACTATCATGACAAAAGAAAAGAGAGAAAGAACACAGTCTCAAAGATAGACACATTAAATAGATAGATAGAAAGAAATTGAAAGAAAAAGATACAGAAAAAGATAAAGTAAAGAGAGACTATAACAAAACAAATTATTAAAAGAGAGTGTATAGCTGTTTTAACAGACTATATCTGATTGATTTCCTCCTCTTCATATTCAGATAATTCTGAATTTAGCCATTTTCTTATAGCTGCTTGAGTTTCTGATAGAAAGTCTATTAAGTATTTAATTCCTGTCTCAGTTGAGAATAAGAATCTCATATTTAATTGATTTAGATCATACTTCTCTTTCAATCTGGCTCTGAGACTATTGTATAATGCACAGTGCATTATAATATGCTCAGGGTTCTCATTTGTATTACAGAATGAGCATTCTATTGAGTCAAATCTATCATCAAATCTTTGTATATAAGATTTGAAATAGCCATGTCCTAGTTTCAGCTGTATTATAGATGAGAATATTTTCTTTTTACATTTAATTGAACAAGATTTCCACTTGAGTTTTGTTTCAAATCTTGAATAATGTATACTCTTCTTTTGTTTCTGCCAGCTTTCATTCCACTTGTCTAAACAAGATTCTTTTATTTTTCTCTTTATAAAAGACCAGGATACAATTTTTTGAACAGATCTGCTTAATTCTGCACCCTTTTTTGCAGCTGAATCAGCCAATTCATTGCCATGAATATTCATATGAGCAGGAACCCAGTGTAGATGAATTCTCAGCTTTGATATTCTTCTCTTTTGAATTTTTAAAACAGAGTTTAAGATCAGTTCAAGATTCATTTGATCATTATGAATCTGACTATTTCTAAGTCTTTTTAAAGCAGCTTGACTATCAGAGAATATTCATGTCTCTTTCAAACAATTTCCTCTTTTATGAGATTTTATTTCAATGAGTTTGAAAGCTTTCACTATTGCAAATAGTTCAGCATCAAAGACTTCACATTCAGAGCCTAGATTTCAGAAATCTGAGATAAAATTAATATTATCTTCAGTATAAGCAATGCCTGTGCCTAATCTATTCAAGTTCTCATTTTTTGAGCCATCTGAATAAATCAGAATAGAGTCTTTTATATTGATTGTAGAAGTTCTCTTCAAATGCTGTTCATATTCTTTCTCTTTTGATAGTTCACTTATTTGTAAGTCTATAAGAGATTCAAGCTTTTTTCTTCAGAAAGATAACTTCTCATGATCAACTTTTTCAACATTTAAAGAAGAAAATTGATTTTTAATCAGAGAGCATAGTCTGTACAGTTGAGAAGGCATTTTCTTTAAAGAATTATTTTCATTTCAATCAAGAAATCTATTCCAATCCAGTTCATTTCCAGAGTTAATTGATGGAAATGAAGAAGAGACTCTTTCTGTGATTATATGATTTGAGCTCATCTTTACAACTCTCAGAGCATAGTTCATACAGGCCTTTTCAAATCTAATAGCAGAAGGAGGAATTGAAGCTTCAATTTCCATTGCTTTAATAGGAGATGATTTGAATGCTTTCAGAATTCTTCTCAAGGCTCTGTTTTGCAGACTTTGAAAGAGTTCAGTGAAATTCCCTTGATTATTCCATCAAACTTGAACTTCATAATCAGCTACTGATGTAATACAGGCTATATATAACTGTCTCATAGCCTGGAAGGATAGATCTCTCTCTGTATTTGATAGTCTGATTATGTTGTTCAATAGTCTTTCTGCCTTGACAGTTCTCTGTTGAATGTGATATTTAAAATTCAACTTGGAGTTTAACCATACTCCTAATCATTTGACATTTACACTGGGTTTAATCTCTCTATTTAAAAGAGTTAGAGATAGTTCTTTCTCATTGAATCTAGAAAAGAAATGAATTAACTCAGTTTTATTCATATCAAATTGAATTTGATTGATATCTGCTCTAACAAAGATTTTCTTTGCAGCTTCTTCAATTACTTTCAAATTCTCTTTGATAGTTTTTGAGCTGTAGACTAGACCAATATCATCCATATAACTCGGAGATTGCACTATTCTCATATTTCTATTTTTGAATAGATATGCAGTGTATATTGCAAATAAAATGAGTGAGATTGAAGACCTCTGTGATACTCCTATTTTTATCTCAGTCTTGTCTTGTTTCATTCCATCAAAGAAGAGTTGTATAATTCTTTTAGACATAAAACAGTTAACTCATTTTATTAGAGAAAGTGGCAGTTTTAATATCTTCAATGTCTGAATTAACTTTGACTTTGAAACATGATCAAATGCTTCTTTTATATCAATAAAAACTGCAGTTGAGACCAGACTCTCATGCTTTGCTATTTGAATATCATGAACAACTGAGAGAACAGTGTCAATTGCAGAACACTGTTTTCTATCTCTCATTTGTTCACTGAATAAAAGAGAATCATCTATAGAGCTTATAAAAGATAGTTGAGTAGCTATTATCTTTTCTAAAACCTTTCCTAGGCAGTTCAATAGAGATATTACTCTATATGACTTAGGAATTGAAGTTTTTCTATTAGGTTTTGCAAGAATCACTTCAGTGGCTTCTCTCCAGCATTCAGGATGATATTCATTTTTCAAGAGATTGAAAAAGAGCTCAAAATACTCATTCTTTAAGTAGGAATATGTATTTTGAATAATCAAGTGATTAATTGAATCAGGACCTGCAGCAGTTTTAACAGAACTTGAGAAGATAGCTGACTCTAATTCATCTTGTGTAAGATCAGGCCATTCTCAGTCATTTTCATCAATGTAGTTGAGAAGTGATATATTCTCTTCCTCTGAATCTGAATCTGAATCTGGTGAGTTCTGAAAGAGAATTCTTATGAAAGCTTGACATTTTTCCTCAAAAGAGTTTGCTGTATATGATTCATTCTGAAACTCATATTCTAGAGCTGGAAGTTTTGCTACACTTCTTGTTTTAGTATAGTTAAAAGCTTTAAAAACTTCCTTTCCTTGTGCTTCTTCAAGAAATTTATTCCAGCAGTCTGTTTTAGCTCTTTTAATATCTGAAAAATATTCATTTCTGACAGCTTTGAACTCTTCATCAGATATTACATCATTCTTCCAATCTCTTCTAGCAGTAGCTAATTCTTTTCTTTTAGATAAGATATTCTCATTCCATCAAGGTTTTGAATACTCAGAAGATTTTCTTTTTGAAATATTATCTCTAACACTTGTTAGGATAATAGATGTAATAAGCTTCACTCTATTCTCAAGCATTTCATTTGAGATATCTTGATCAGAATTCCAATATAGCTCATTCTGTCTTTCAGATTTTAACAGTTTTATACTTTCTTCAACTGCTTTCCAATCAGCTTTTTCAAAGTTATACTGATTAGAGAGAAGAGGATTTTCACTCATTTGTTTTTCACTCAGTTCAATATCAAATTGAATAATCTCATGACCTGATCCTGATGTCTCATTTGAATCAATAAACCAGTTTACAAGTCTTCTTTTCATTAGATTTTGTGACATGAATGTTAGATCTATGATAGACTTCTGTTTCATGTCTTTTCTAAAGAATGTTTATTGATCAGACTTATTAACCAAATCTATTGAATGCTCAAAGGTTCATTCAACCAGATTATCAGCTCTCACTGCTCTCTTGCATTCTGAATTTCATCAGGGATGATGTGCATTGAAATCTCCTGCAATTATAGAGTTTCTTGATGGAGTTATGTTCAGAAATCCTCTATCAATTGTCCAGATATTGTTATTTTCCTTCAATGACTTTTCATTATAGATATTTATGAGCTGTATAGTATCAAACTCATTTTCTTTATCTATAATATCACCCACCAGAATATCAGGGTCAGACATGATATCAAATCTTAGATTAAATTGATATCTTGATCTCTTTCTTCCATAGATCACTACTCTTGACTTTATCTCAGACTTTTGAGGTAAAAAGCAGTAGTAGCTTGAATGAGAAATGACATATTTTTGCTCAGCATCAAAATTCGGCTCCTGAAGCAGTACAAAATCAACTTTCTGTTCAAATGCAATCTGAAGACAAGAATAAATGCAATTTGAGTTTCTATTCACATTATTTTGAATAAATGTGATTTTTGAAGAGTTTTTAAACTTTTTTTGTTGTTTTTGTTGTATATTCATACTAAAAGAGAGTAGAGAAGAATCTAATCACTATCATCAGATAGTAGATTATAACTGTTCTGAAAAGTAGGAATCTCAACTGCTTGCATTATATCTAGTTTATCACCAGAGTCATTTCTCAATTCTCTAATCTTAACAGGAGTTTGAGGATTCAAATTCTGTTTACATTTCACTGGAGAATTGAAGTTTGAAGACTTAGATAATTGAGAGTTTCTTCTTTTTGAGCTTGCAGTTGTGAGTTTACTGGCTTGACTCTTCTCTTCAGTTCTAGATTGACTTTGAGCTTCATCTTTTCTCCAGTTCTTTTAAGTTCTAGGAGCAAACATACATTCTTTTGAGCTAGATGCATGTTTTTCTTTGCAATTAGAGCACTTAAGCAGAGTATGTTGACAAATTTCACCTCTTTTTGAGCATGTTTCACATTTATGCTCACTAGTTTTATGATCTCTGGCACAGAATGCACATTTTGAGTCTCTAAAATATGAGATTGCAAAGTGTCCATATCTTTGACAGTTTGAACACTGTGTTTGAGCTTTGAGATTCATTCTTGAGTCTTTGTATTCATGAACTCTCATTTTCAAACCTGCTACTCTTACTTCAGAGATCTTTGACTGTTCAAGTGTTTTTGTATATACTAGAACAGAGGCATTTCTCCTGCTTTGTCTGAACTCAATTGAATTTAGTCATACAGGCTCCTTTCTCAGTTGAATGGAGTTGTATTCTTTCAATTCATTTTTGAGAAGTAGTATTTCTTCTTCACAGTCAAAAATTTCAACTGAAATATCATGAAGAATGAATTTGTCTCACTTTTCATCTCTTTCAGATAGAATTGTTGTGTTTAGCAAAGATTCTACTGCTGACTTTCAGAGATTCTCATTCTGAATAAGGAATTCAGCACTGAATTCAGGCATTGTAGTCAGAATGATGGAGTTTTCAAAGAATGATGGCTCAATTGAAGCTATAACTGGTTTTTGAACTTCAATATCAGTCATCAACTGAGAAAAGAACTGCTGATTAATTTCATTTCTGATTCTGAAAATGAGATTTGAGTTTAGCTTGTTTCTTTGCAGAATGTCCTGGTTTGAGACTTTGAGAATAAGTCTTCTATTTCTGGAGATTTGGAAGTTTTTCTCTTTTTGCATTTTCTTTTCCACTTTTCTATGAATAGAGGCATGAGCAGTATTCTTCTCAGTTTTCTTGGGATTTTGAGCTGGTTTTGAGACAGCAGGTTTAGAGACAGCAGATTCAGCTGCTTGAGCATATGTTTTCTTCTGATTCAAAGAAGAAGAAGAAGTAGGAAGAAAGAAAGAAGAAGAGCAAGATGAAGAGTCAGTGATTGTACTAGGAATTTTCAAGGTTTTTTGAACTGTGTTTGAGATTCCAAGTTTGAACTTGATCACCTCCTGTAGTTGTCTAGCCTGAGCATGAAGAATTAACAGAACTTCTTCATTCATCTCACTCAGACACTGCTTTCCAAGAATCTTGCTTGCTTTTTCAAGTTCCTGTATTTCAAGAACTTGTTGTTTCTCTATTTCTTCTTTCTTTCTTCTCTTCAGAATTTCAATCTCAGGAATAGCATTTGAGAAAGCATCTTTTTCCACATCAACTGAGTGTATTTTTGAACTCATTGTTTTCACTCAATGAAAAGTTGGTCAGACTGTTTCAATTGAGATATTTCTAAGTCTGTTTTCAATTGAAAAGTTGGTCAGACTGTTTCAAAAGAAGAATAAAAGACTTTTGTGTATAAAACACCTGATTTTTTTCACACTAGTTCAGTAACTAGGTTAGATTTTTGAAGAGAATCTAATAAACTAAAATTGATTTTTAAGATAAATCAATCAAATCTTTACAATCTCTTTCTTGAGATAGTATAGACATAGTATCACAGTGACTCTGACCAATGTTAAAATTATAATAACAACAGATAGCTGATACACATGTGACTTAATTATATCAATATAAACAAATTCAATAATTATTTCAACAAGAAATCTCTGCACAGACAATTTCAACATCAATTGAATCAGAGATAGTATGAATACTGAAGAAATATCTAGATACTCTGTATATTTTAATACTTCTAATCTCACTCTCTACCTGTTATGAAGATTGAACATGCTCATGAAACTAAGTGTAGATGAAGATGTCATTAGTTTATTAACTAATCAAGATTGATATATCAATGATCAATTGAAAGATTATATGAAACAGAAGTTTCCTTTATAAATAAAGGCATGTGAATCAGTGTTATATACATCTGATAATATTATTAGACATCTCAATGTTCTGTTCAGAGACACTGCTATATAACAGAAGATATTAGATTGATTACAGAGTGTCTGACAGAGAAATACTTCTCTTATAATATTTATTTCTCATTTTAACACTAAGGTTCTAGAAGCAGATAATCAATCTTAAGGGAATTGAATGAAGATTAGTATGCTTAAGAAGAAACTAACTTTTAAACTCTTATAAGCTCTTATAAATGTAGATGAAGATCTGACTTATAAAGACTTCTGTATATAACTTCAAATACTGAATGACTGTCTTATCAAGCTTAAGAGTATACAGAACAGCAGTAGAAGATATTACATTTCAGTCACTTATAATCTTCTTCTACATGCAGAGATTGTCATCAATGACTGAGATACTGTTTCAACAGATGTAAGCCTGTTCTTTCTTACATATGATTATCACATGAAGATGTTGAATCTTCTAGAAATCACACAGTTCACACTGAACCTCTGCAGTTCAATTCAGATCACTGATAACATAGTAACAAAGCTCTGAGATGCTCATGGCTGAGCAGAAACCTTCATAATAAGTGCTAAATAAGATTAAGAGAATTAAGTCAATGTTCAGTGAGATCTCACTGAGTAATATAAGATAGAAGATCTTGTATACTTGAATCTTAAAAATATACAGATCACATACTTATCTTATACATTGAATTATTATCATGTGAGATACATAGTAATAAAAGTTCTAAGCAGTCACAACTACTATCTTAATACTCTATCAGAGATTTATAATATGTTTCATATAAGCTTACTCTGCTATACTATCAGTGACTTATTTTCTTCTCAACTGACTTCTGACTGATAACTGTCAGAGATCATAGAAGAAGATAATAAACTTAAATGAGAGATTAAAGATATTTCTGATGAAAGATCACACAGCTGTAGCTGATAATATCTTATGAAATAAGTTAATTACAATTATCTGATCTGAATCTCAGACTCCATGCTATTTAATACAGTAGCTCTTGACTAATGAGAACTGTACTTACTTTCAGAAAGAGAGAGCTAATGTAACAGACTGCATCTGATCAATTATATAGACTATTTCATTACACTTCATAGATTTCTACTGAAAGCTTTGATTCTCAGTCACTGATCAATTTTTGATCTGAAAGCTCTGATTCTCAGCTAAGAAACTTATGAAGTTTCTATTCTCTTACTTCAAAGCTTCATCTTGTATATATATAAATATTTACTCTGATTGCTGATTCCTGCGCTTTCTCTTTTTTCTTCTCTAATTTTTTTCACTTTTGTTATATAAGATCTATATCTTAATACCAATCTATTTAGTGTAGGCCTTTTACAGTATCTTCTATAGCTATAGTGAGAACTACTGTTTTATCTGTCATTTTTAACATTACTTTCACCTTCTGGAACTTTGCTATGACAAGATCTCTGTGAGATGTAACATGAGTGTTTAATTCAGAGTCTAGAATTCAGATATCTTTCTCTATCTGATCACTTATATAGATCTTTTCTTTGATGTAAAATACTTACTTTATAATATTGTAAATAGAAGTAGTATCTGTATTCTTCACATTCTTATCTTTATTCTTGTTTCTATTAGTATTGAAATTTGAATTTGAAGAATGTTTCTCAGAGTATTTTCTTCAACAGTCAGTCTGAATATAATCAATCTTTTAATAATAATAGCAGGTTCTCACATTATTATCTCTATATTCAGGTTTAACTTCAGTGTTCTTATTCTTATTATTATCTTTCTCTTTGTTCTTATCTTTCTTATTCTTGTCTTACACATTATTGATAGAGTTTCTAGATATATTAGTACTTATCTTATTAACAGTAAAGAGCTGTAAAAGAATATTGTAATAAAGACTTATAAAATTATTCTCTAAGAGTTAAGTATTATCTTTGTCAATTTAATTCATTTAATTCTTTATAAATGAGACTCAATCTCTGTTAACTTCTATAAGTAGTCTGTTGAAAAACATAATATCTGAGATCTCATATTCTAGATGTATATAGTCAGTTCTTATAATAATTAAATATTCAATAAAGATATAATCTAAGTCTTTTAACTTAGCAGTTATACTGATCAGTTTCTTAAATAGAGAGGTTTTACAGATAGTAGATCTTTTAGAAAAGTTATTCTCTATAACAGTTTATAGAGTATAGACAGATAGCTTGAATTTCTTAAATATAGTATAATAAATCTTAATCTGCAGAGTAATTACAGATTATATATAATTATATAGTTAAAAATTACATTCTTTTCAGAAATGTTATATATTTATAATAATATTCTTATTAAGATTATTATCTTTAAGAATATTATTGATTTCAAACTACTTTATAGTCAAAAGAATTTCCTCTCTTCACATTAAATAGTTAATGAATTCAGTGAGCTCTGATAACTGAATGATTAATACAGTTATCTGATAGTGTCTTAACATGGAAAACTAGAACATATGAGTTTGAAACCCGCAGAGAATATATTAAATCTGAAACTCAAGTATCTTAGATTTCTAATAAATACAGAAATGTATAAATTACTTTAATAAATCACTATATATTTCTGAGATGAGAAGTTATTATCACATGTATTTAATTATCACTTCTTGATATTTTCTATGTTCTTATTATCTTGATATAATCTTAACACCTGTTTGAGCGCTTGGTTTAGTGGTATAATATGTCATTCGCATTGACGGGGTCGCCGGTTCAATTCCGGCAGCGTCCAAATTTTTAATGCCCTGGTGGCCGAATGGTTAATGCGGCCACCCGGTAGTGCCTTGGTGTGGGAAACCAAGGCATGTGAGTTCGAAACCCGCAGGGGATACATTAAATCCGGAACTCAAGCACCTCAGGTTCCTAATAAATACAGAGGTGTACAAATCACTTCAACAAAATCACTCTATGTTCCTGGGATGAGAAGTTATTATCGCATGTATTTAATTGTCACTCCTTTGTATTTCCTATGTTCTTGTTATCTTGGCGTGGTCTCAACACCTGTATTTCCTTCTGTATAATCAACACTTGGCCTGTATTTAACATCACGCAAGGACTCATCATAAGCTCCGCTTGCATATGAGTATAATGGAAGAATAATAATAATAATAATAATAATTAACACCTGTATTTTCTCCTGTATAATTAATACTTAATCTGTATTTAACATTATACAACAACTCATTATAAGCTCTGTTTGTATATAAGTATAATAGAATAATAATAATAATAATAATAATAATAATAATAATAATAATAATAATAATAATGAATTCAGTGAGAACTATCAGTCTTTTAATAAGTCTTATTTAACTTCTAAATTCTTTAAGAACTTTTATTATAACAGATATCTTCTCTTTCTGTTAAAAATATTCTATTAGATTTACTCTTATCTTATTATCTACAGAGTCATCTCTACTAATCTTTATCTACTCAATCTTGTACTGAAGTCTTGTAATTTCTAGTCTTATATAAGTCTTCTTACTTATAGATAGACTGACCGTGTGACCGTGTCTGAAACCAGAATCAGATTTTTTAATAGTCTCATTATCAATTCAACTGATCTTATTACACAGTTTTAACATTAGATAATAGTCTCATACTGTCTCAGTGAGACTTACTGTCTACTCTTGTCACATTTTTCAAATGAGATCATGATTTTCACTTCTCAATTTAAATTATTTTTATTGCTTTAAATGACTTTAAATCTCATTTAAGTGTTATCAAAAAGTGTTACTTTTTAAAAAATTAAAAATAGTCTAAAAAAAACCTTAAAATGTCTAAAAATAGTGACTTTATGTCAAGAATGAAATTAAATGAGATCAAATGAGATCACTTTCTCATTTTTTTCAAGTCATGATTTCATTTTAAGATCTGATATATAGTCACTTTGCATGTTTTTTTAATGACTAGTCCCAGCAGAATTCACGCCAAGAAATGTATGAGATCAGATCAAATGAGACCAAACATGAAATTCATGATTTCAGCGGCCAGTCTACTTACAGAGTTATTATTATTTTAATCACTTAAACTCTTTATATTATCTAATATCTTACTGATATCTTTAATCAGGTTTTTGTATTTATTATTGAACTTATCAGACTATTCTTTCATAATTATGTTATTCAGCTCAAACATCTCAGAAGCTGTCTTCTGATTTGTTATTAATATTAACAGTGATCTGTGATCTTGCATTTACTGCTCTGATATTTTCTCATTTCTCTGTCTTGAAGACATGTAGTCTTTTATTAAGTCAGGTGTCCCTCTGAATCTTAGATTAACCATGAGTTCAATCACTTAATAAATCATCTAGACACACTTGTAATAATGTGTGAAGATGTAGTTAACGCTTCATAACCTCTTGAAGAATAATGTTATTATATTGTGTAATCTATCTACTCGAGTTACACTAAATAGATTGGGGTGACACGTGACTAGAGTAGTTAGGTGTAACGTAATCAACCACCTAACACTCGTTTACATCTAACGCTCGCACAAATCTTACCTCAATCTCCATGTTCAAAAACTTACAACATGGACCACAAATCAGCTATACAAGCAGTGATTGATGATTTGAATGTGCAATTGACTTCTAATTACACTACAACTGTAAAAAAATATGGAATCAGCTGTCATTCATTGTCACAGTGCTATAATAACCTTCAAACATCAAGAAAGAAAGCAATCTCTATTCACTGTTAAAATCTTTCAAATTTGCAAGAAGAACAGCTTCTTTTTCATATCAATCAATTGACAGATCACAGTTTCTCTTATACACCTCAAATTCTTTATAATCTCATTGTTGAGATTCTAAAATCGCCTGTGAAAGTCAACTGAATGCCACAGTTCTGTCAATGCTACAAGAATGTAATCAAGTCAGTTTATCTGTGAAATATCAATTAAAAATGCAAGAATGCTGACAATTCAACATATTTCAAGCATTACTTTGATCTTGTATTTAATCTCTTACTTTTATTATCTTTTTGTCTTTATCATGATTATTTTGCTAATTTAATCTCACTTAATCTGACAGCTGCAGACAAAGATCATACAATATAATATTGAATCTGACAATATTTACAACTTTGATGAAAAAGGATTTCTATTAGAACTTATTCATACTCTCAAACATATCATATTGATTGTCATTCTCAAATCCGGATGTGTGATAGATGTCAATCAGAATGATAGTAGAGAATTCATAACTCTACTTACTGTAATTTATGCTGATGAAACTGCTCTCTCATCTGCTCTCATATATCAAGAGAAATCAAGAGACATGCAAGATAGCTGACTTGAAGATTTTGATAGTGAAAAGAATCAGGTCTACTTTGCTGCTTCAGAAAATGAATAAAGTAATGATGAATATGAATTAACATGATTAAAGAAGGTCTTTGAACCTCTTATAAAAAAGAAAGCTGAGTGCAGATACAGACTTCTTATATTAGATAATCATTCTTTTCATATTAATATGACATTTATCAATTACACAGATTAAAATCAGATTCTACTTGCTGTTCTATCTCCTCACTCTACACATTAATTACAGCTGTTAGATATTGAAATATTTGAATCATTGAGTAAATCATATTTCAAGCAACTGAATGCATGAATAAGAACTGAAATGAAATTCATACACACTACAAAGAGGTCTTTTTAACAGCTATTTCATTCTGTATGAAATGAGATACTTACATCTTTAAATATTGCATCTGCATTCACTGCTGCTGATCTATATTTATTTGATCTGAAACAGGTTCTTAAAAAGCTTGCAAGGCCTTGCATCTCTTCAGACATGCATTGTAGATCAAGAACATCTACTTCTATTATTAACATATGAAAAATGATTAAGCAAGTCAAGCAGTGACAGCATCAAATATCTAGTGATCTCAATCAACTGATTCACGCAGGTGAAAATCTTGCTCTTGATAAAGAGATTCTTTTAATAGAGAACAGGCAGCTGCAGCAAGCTCTTAATCAAGAAAGAAGATATCACAAGTGTGACAGAATCATGAGATTGCTAGATTCTTCAAATTCATCATTAACACAGTTCTTTTCACCAGCAAAGATGCAGCGCATTCATGAGCAAAAAGCAGTGAATGAAGCTGTTAAAAAGAATGAGCAGACTCATAAGAAGAACATCAAGTTGCAATACACTATTCTTAAGGAGTAAAAGAAGACAGATATTATGAAGCAGTGAATGCAATGAGATGCTGTCTATCAGACAGTAAAGGAGTAAAGGGAGGTGAATAAGGCTGCTAGAGCCGCTCAACAGCAGGTTGAAAAGAAGCTTAGAAATGCAAGAAAGGCTCAAGAGTAAAAAGAGAAGGAAGAATGAGCTGCAGCACAGTTGCAATTAGACTGACTATGTAACCGTGTCTGAGACCAGGATCAGATTTTTTGATAGTCTTATTATCAATTCAACTGATCCCATTACATGGTTTTAACATTAGATAGTAGTCTCATACTGTCTCAGTGAGACTTACTGTCTACTCTTATCACATTTTTCAAATGAGATCATGATTTCCACTTCTCAATTTAAATTATTTTTATTACTTTAAATGACTTTAAATCTCATTTGAGCATTACCAAAAAGCATTACTTTTTAAAAAATTAAAAATAGTCTAAAAAAAACCTTAAAATGTCTAAAAATAGTAACTTTATGCCAAGAATAGAACTAAATGAGATCAAATGAGATCACTTTCTCATTTTTTTCAAGTCATGGTTTCATTTTAAGATCTGATATATAGTCACTTTACCAGACCAAATGGGATCAAATGTGAAATTCATGGTCCCGGCGGCCAGTCTAGTTGCAATCACAGTTGAATAAGAATAAGATTGAAGCATCCAAAAATCACCTTCCTAATCAGGAAAGTAGACTCTTGATTTCACAAAGAGTGACTAAATCGCGTTTTCAGAGCCCTGCCAGGGTGCCCACGGATCCACTGCCGGAGGAATCTGATGATATTACAATCCCTACTGATTTCATGGCTGCTTGCTCACTGAATCTGCCTCCACTCAAGATTTCGCGTTCCGGGCGAGTTATTAAGCTAAACAAGCATCTACAAGATTAGCTATATATTTTTATATGTAATTCTATGTATATATTTTCATCATATAATATTTTATCTTAAAATCTAATTGCGTTGTTGAGATATCGTTGGGTTGATTCCATCATAGAAGTAGCGAAATAGCGAGCGTTAGGTGGTTGATTACGTTAGTAATCACCAACATATGTAATATAACGTAGCTAGCTCCTCCACACGAATATAGAAGACCATTCTACAGGAAGCACCGTTATAGCACGGGACCAACCCGGCCCGCGTTGCGTGTCCCTTCCTACGATCCAACAATATCTCAACATCGTACATTCTTTATCTCGACGCTCTTTTTGCATGATCTGGCGTTTGCCCAATTCACAAGCCATCCCCATGAGTTAAAAGAGACGGCGTTATAAATCAGCCATCACAGCTATGCCCTCAGTCGTTACCACCTCCTCTCCCAGAGCTCGGGTCTCTGCGACAAGTGCTGGAAACAGCTCCAGCTCCAGCTCCACCCATGCTCCGCCGCCACCCTCCAATTCCTCTATAGAAGACAAGTTCTTTTGGACTTATACAGAGGAGCCTCATCGTTCCAGACGCCAGGCTATTATCAAGGCTCATCCAGAGGTGGGATTTTGTTCCTTCAATGTAACATCCAGATAATTCAAACCAATGCTGACAAAGGGGGAAACTGCAGGTTACGAAGCTCTGTGGTGTTGAGCCCCTTACCAAATATGTCGTTCTCGGTGTTGTCTCTCTTCAGGTCGCCTGTGCATACCTACTCCGAAATACCCCGGTCTTGTCATGGCAGTTCCTCTTGACTGGTTATGTTATTGGAGCTACGGCGAACCAGAACCTCTTCCTCGCAATCCATGAGATATCACACAACCTCGCCTTCAAATCTCCTTTTGCAAATAGGCTGTTAGCTGTATTTGCCAATCTTCCAATCGGCATACCATATAGTGCTGCATTCAGGGTATGTTCAACTTATGCAAATCTCCAATTCTTTCCCCGAAAAGTACTTCTGACGAAATTCAGCCCTACCATTTAACCCATCACAAATCCCTCGGTGTGGCCTCGCTGGACACGGATCTCCCTACCGCCCTCGAAGCCTTCTTCCTCGACTCCGTTCTCGGAAAGGCCTTCTTCTGCACCTTCCAAATCCTCTTCTACGCCCTACGGCCATCTTCATCTATTCCCCGCCCTTCACCTCCATCCACCTGCTAAACATCATCGTCCAATTCACCTTCGACTACTGCCTGTACAAAATCTGTGACTCCTCCCTCCAACCCATCTACTACCTAATCCTCAGCTCCTTCCTCGCCGGCTCCCTCCACCCTTGCGCCGGTCACTTCATAGCGGAACACTACTTCTTCTCGAAAACTGGCGCGGGCACTGAATCGATCGAGGAACTGCGACGACAGAAGAGTGGTGATAAGCAAACAATAGAAAAACCAGGAGGAGATGCATTGGCCAACCTACCCCCGCCGGAAACGTACTCGTACTACGGGCCATTGAACATCCTAACGTACAATGTCGGTCTACACAATGAGCATCATGATTTCCCTGCCGTGCCGTGGACAAGGTTGCCTACTCTACACAATATTGCCAAGGAGTTTTATGAGCCTCTCCCTTCGCATCGTAGCTGGGTCTGGGTTATTTATACCTTTATCTTGGACTCGAATGTTGGGTTGTGGTGTCGCGTGAAGAGAGCTGGAGGTGGGAGAATCGTGGGAGGAGGTGGTGTTGATGGTGGTGGTTGGAAAGAATCTGAGATCCAAAATTGAGTTGGAAGGATGGTTCCTATCCCGGATGATACATCCCCAGAACTCCGGTCCCGATAGAACAGTTTTCTACCAGCCTGCCGTTTTCATTCCCATATTATTATTTCACTTCCCGTCCATTCTCCTCGTTTTTCAGTTTCTATTAATGTACAGTTCTTTGATTGTACATACATCCTTATCTGTAATATCTTGTTTCTCTACTTTTTTCTCATCGTATTCCTTTGCACTCCTAGCTAGCTACAAGTATGGATTATTTACATCGACTTTTCGAATTTTATCAGACTGCTTGTATCTTGTTGCTAGTGTTCATCAGCGTGCACTAGAAAGGAAGGCCGCGCTAATGGAAGGTTTCTGTGTAGCTCACTTCCAGTATTCCCCTTTAGGCGCTCTCTCTTCTACCACAATACCCATATTTTGCAAGTTATTTGTCAATCCACTTTGCTTCCCGCCATGAGAGGTAAGAACTTAAAGGAGCTGTCAAGGTGGGAATGAGCACTGCCGGTTTTTGTCCCTGTGGGAGTTAAAAGCACTATTGGAATGGAATTTTCTATTGTGTCATTTCTGTTTTACTAGATCTGTGTGCCTGTGCTCCCTTTCAGTACGGAAGACAATATCAAACTTTATGACCTATGTTCGGGATGCCGACTTACGGGGCATTTATGTGAAGAATTGAAAAGAAAATATGTATTCTGTAGCCGACAGCTTGTCAAAATCAATATTCTGTATTATTTCTTACTCTCCCATACCATACTCTTCTTCATATCATGAGCTTCTCAGTGAGTGCCTTTCTCTCTGTGCAACATCTCTGAGATTCTCAGTGATATGAGCTGCCTGCAAGCACTCTACAGATTCTCATTAAGCTTGGAGATCTTTCGTTACGTAGAAAGCTCAAACAAGACTCACTATAGAGTAAAAATGATTTCTACTAGTCAGGCAATATAACGGTGTTATTCACTGAGTCAAAATGATTATAAGATGACTGGCTGGCTATCTATCAGCTGTGCTCAGCATTCATCCTTATAGATAGTGTAGAATAGTTGAAGGTTGTATTGATAGAGCTATCTACAAAGAGCTTAATATAGTGTGTTAGAGGATAATGTTGTCATCTATAATCTGTCTAGGGTGAAACTATATATAAGTTGGGTGGCACGTGATTACGGTAGATGTAGTAATCATCAACACCCCCTCTTGCTACAAATCAATGTGTTTCATCATAATATATTTTTTTTCAATCAGGTCTCAAAGAATATGATACCTTATTTCAATATAATATAATCAATATGATAGAGATTCTTCTTTTACTAGATTGATTGCACTCTTATTATCAACTCATAGTCTTGAACAGATCTTCACTTTTCCTTTTACTAATTCAGTATTATATAACATATCACTCAGTCAGATGATCTTACAAGCTGTCTTACTAACTACAATGTATTCAGTCTTTATAATTGATTTGATAATAGATGTTTGTCTCTGCAATTATCATGATATTGATGACTTATTTATCAATATAACATAGTCAGTGATTAATTTGTATTAAGAATTCATCTCTGCTTAATTTGAATTATAGTATGTAACAGAACTCAAGTTATCACTCTCTTTCTTATATAATATACTGTAGTTCTTGATCTTCTTAACATATCATAGAATATACTTCAATGTCAACCAGTATTCTTTGTATGAGTATAAGTTGTATTATGAAAGATAGTTAACTGTAAATATCAGATTCATTCTACTGCTTAAGATCAGATACTGTAATAATCTCAATTCTTATCAATACTGTGTAGCTGTAAAATTATTATTCAGATCACTGTTCTCATCAGATAAGAATTCAATGCATATTTCAGCTATTATTGATATACTAACTGAGTTCATCTTGTTCAGTTCAAAATCTTCAAGAATCTTCTCTATATAACAGCTCTGTGTCACTGTTATATCATTATTTTTCAGATAGTTGACTTTCATTCTTAGATATAACTTATTCTCATCAACATTCTTTGTTTCAAACTGCTTAGCTATCTTCATTAATACTCAATTCAGTTGCTGTTCTTAAGAACCTGTTACTCAGCAGTCATTAACATGTAGTATTAAATATATCTTTCAAATAGAGTGATATAGAAAGCTGTCATCATAATATAATATTTTAAATCTTAATATAATAAGATGTTTCATTGTAAGAAAGTATCACACTCTTATCACTTATTTCATTTTATATAAACTCTGTTAAAGTAGCTCTATTAAATTTTCTTTATCATGTCTCACATCTGTTGATAGTTGTATATAGACAATCTTATTTAATGAGAGAATTTCATTCAAGAATGCTGATATATAATAAATTGATTTAACTTTTCATTCATTGACAGTTAATATAGTAAATAAGCTATGTGATGTGAATTCTGATATCACTGCAGTATATGATTTTATATAATGAATATGTTAAGAGTTCCGGGAGTTGATCAGCTCTTCTACCAGCAGCGCTGGTGATGACTGAGCTCTTTTGCCTCAGTAGTCTACAGGTTATGAGACTGTTAAGTGTGAGCCTCACTGTGATTAACATGCATGAGTTCGATCTCAGAATAAACTTAAGAAAATCTCAAAACAAATACTCTTAACATTTAACAGTGTCAAGAGACATTCTAGAAGTGTGCTCTAAGAAGTTAGCTCTTGAAAGAATGAGCTCTAGAAGTGAGTTTAAAAAGAAAGATCACTGAAAGAAGTTACTAAGAGAAGTCACTGAGAGAAGTCACTGAGAGAAGTCACTGTACTCTGTGATTAGCTGATCTGAGAGAGAGTGTTGAGAGTCCCGGGAGTTGATCGGCCCTTCTATCAGCAGCGCTGATGATGACTGAGCTCTTTTGTCTCAGTAGTCTACAGAATATCTTACTTCTACAGGAAATCTCTAATCACTCAACAGATCTGAAAGCAGATAGTTTATTCTTTATTATTCAGTTTATAATTAAACACTTATTTCTCTGATAGAATATTCATATCTGATGTCTTCTTAATGATAATATATGTCTTTCTCTGTTCAAACATCTCAACTTCTCTCTTTATTACTTTATATTAATAATCTCAGTCTGAGCTTCTTTTGACTTCTGTAAGTGTGATTAAACAGTCTGTCAGATTACTAAGAACAGAATCATTTTCATTGACAGAGTCTTCTATCTTCTCATCATTGACAAGTTGCATCTCATTATTCAAGAGATAGACTGAATCAATGACATTCTTCAGATTTTCATTAATAATTATCTTTAAAATATTCAGCTTCTCTTTAGCTAGGTATCTCAATAAGCAGTGTTATCATTCTTTATTAACATTCAGAATATCAAGTTTCTCTGAGAATTCAATTAACTTCTTAATTACATTAACAGACTCAGTTGTTTTTGTGTTAAAACTCTCATTAAATATGACATCTTATGTGATTTTCAAGCACTGTCTTACAGAATCTTATAGACAATATTAATATAGTCTCTGATAACTGACTAGTCATCATTTCTTATCATCTGTTCTGTTCTCAAGTTTGCTAGATATCTTTAAATTCTTCTTATAGATCTTACTCTCTCATCTATATATTCAGTGAATTGAGAGCTGTACTTCAGTTCATGCTTTAAAAGATGTAAGCAGAGACTCATCAGTATATTCAAAGATCTTGATTGATATTGAAGATGTATTAATGATTATAATTACAGCTTGTATTACCTCTTCTCAAAGACCTCTTTTCAAATCACTATTAAATAGTAGACTTCTTGTCTTTTCAGCAATAATACAATTGATGTATTCTGCAGAACCATTGAATTGCAGCATGTCAGAAGTGATTATCTCATATACTATTTCTTTGATCTGATAATAGATCTTAAGATCTTGACTTTTAAATTCTCTTTCTTCATCTCAGTACAGAGTTTCAATTCTTCATTGTGTAGTTATCTCTATGTCTGTTATGAAATTCATCAGCTTTGCTATTAATTCTTCTTTTAATATTATTAAAATCACTCATCGGTAGTGTGTAGCATTATCAGTGATTTTCAACTAGTAGCTTATATTCTCTCTAGAGAGTATGTCTTTCTTATCAAAGAGTGTCTTTTCTCTTTCTATCAGATTAATGAAGAATCTTATCACTGACTTGATAATTCTTGTCATAGATTGAAAGATTGAACATGTTACCTTGACTTACACACAGACTTTGCAAAAGAATAAAGCCTGTTATTCAAGAATTCTCATTTCTAGATATAAGTCTGCTGCTATTTTAATAATATCAGTCAGATTGAGATATCTGAGCTTCTGATATCATTCTATTATTATATATTTCATAATATTCATGTCATTCTTTTCTGATAATATCAATATCACATCATTATCTGTTATTTGCATTGAATTCGCAGGTGTGAAACTATCATCAGATGCAGAAAAATGAATCAAATCTCTGTATATAACTGACTTCTTCAACTCATAGATATCTCTATCATTTAATCTTACTGTAAAAGAGAACATTCTGTCAGAAGATACAAGCAATATAATGTGATTTTTCTCATATGTTAATTACTTGAAAGTGTAGCCTTGTCATACAAGCTTGCTTAAACTGGTAAGATTAACTTTTAAATTCAGAGCATAACAGACACTGTTTAATATCATATTTGTTTCTTCAACTGATATACTTGTATTCTCAATTATCATAGCAGAGACTTTGATTTCATCTGTTATTATCAATGATAACTTAACATTCTTCTCTTTCTACACAATAAGATCTCTATAAGATGTGATATGAGCATCTGATTCAGAGTTCAATATTCAGATATTCTTTGTTAAGTTACTGTCGGAATAAATTTCATCTCTTAAATAGAACACTTGTTTCATAACACTGTGAACAGAATCAGTTTTAGCATTATTATTATTCTTATCTTTATCTTTTCAAGTAATATTGAAATTGATAGAATGTTTCTCAGAGTATTTCTTTCAACAGTCATTCTGAATATGATTAACTTTTTCACAGTGATAGCAGATTCTCA